ATTTAAAAAAAAATCCAGATGAAGGGGACAGGGGGAGGGGTCAACAGTGCCAAACTCTGCAGAGAGGTAAAGAAGGATAAGGATTGAGAAAAGGCCAAGGGCTTTATTTATGAAAAGACCGTTGGAGACCTTGGGCAGAGCAGTTTCATTCTAATGATGGAGTGAAGTCATAATGAAAAGGACTGAGAAGTGAATGGGAAGTGAGAAAGTTAAGTCAATGGGTGCAAATGACTTTTTCTAGAACTTTGGCTGTGAAAAGGAGGACAGGTACAGGTTGATAGTTGAGAGGATGGCAGGGTCAAATGAATTTTTTTTAAAAGAATGGAGAGATGTTGGGGGCATTTATTGGCAGCAGGGAAGGAGAAAATAGATACAAACAGGCTGGATATGATAGATGGAATGTGTATAATAAAAGAGGCAAGCACCTGGAAGGGACAGGAGGAAATAGAATTAAGGGTATGAATAGATGGGATGGTCTTGGCAATGACTAGGACCACAGAAAACTAGAAACTTCCACAGAAACTAGAGCAAAGGAGAGAATAGGAGAGGGTGCTGAACTGATTGTAAATGCAGAAATGGGAAGGAAGGGGAGCATGTGATGACTGCTTCCATTTTTTTCAGTAAAGTATGTGGTAAGATATATCATGAATGATTTTTCATTACATTTTCCCACAGGAAGCTGTGATTAGGCGTTTTAACAATGTGTGGAGTTCTCTCTCTTTCAGTTCATGCAGCATCCATTATTATCCATTTTGGTATTTCATTTTGGGGGCCTTGTATTATCTCTGAATATTTTATTCTTGCCATACTATACTTTAAAATTTGAACCTCAAGATTCTTATATTTACATTTATTCCTTTCTGTGGAAAATGAGAAGCAGAATCTGAGCACTGTGGCTATGATGCAAAAGCCCAACTCTCTGAGGGTCTCTGAATATGCGTCTGTGGTTCAGGGATTGCATTCCAAACCAGATAGCTTGCTATTTAATACTTATCCAAGTCCCAGGTACTACCAATGGTGCTTCATTCCTAAAGCACATAATTCTTGCTGGAGCCTTAGGGAAGGAGAGCCCGGTTTCATCTTGGGAGAGCTGGCTCGGATTGATCTGCTCCTGCTCAATCCATTCCATATGGGCCAGCATCGGCTTTTAGAGGAAAGGATTAAGATTGGATTTCTTGGATAGTCCAACCCAGAGCGTTCCCTTTTCTTTACTTTTTTTTTGTTTTTTTTTGCATTTATAGCCATAAGGAAAGTGCTGCAATTGTGGAGGAGACCTCTCCAAATAAAAAATAATGATTCTGGCATCCTATCAAGCAAAGAAAGCCAATCTTCTTTTCTTTAATGGTCTATACTTCTGCCTTCCCCCTCCTCTGCCATTTTCCTCTGTAGCTTTTGCTTCACTTTTTTATTTCAGCAGCTTTAAAGGATTTTTACCCTTACCAAGGCTGGATGTGTGAGGCAGTGTGGTATGTAGCAGATAGAAAACTAGCCTCAGAGCCAGGAAAACCCAAGTTCAAGGATGGCCTCTGACTTTCAAGTACATTAACATATTCCTCTTAATTCTAGTGCTTTCCCTCTATTGATTATCTCCAATTTATCCTGTAGATAGCCGGTTTGTACATAGTTGTTTGCATGTTATCTCCCCTTTTAGACTGTGAGTAACTCCTTGAGGGATTGTTTTCTACTTTTCTTTGCATCTTCAGGGCTTAGCACAGTACCTGACACATAGTAAATGTCTATCGATTGACTGGCACATTTGATGTTTTTACCTATGTTTTACTTGTTGAATCCAATGACTATGTCCTTAGATGGCTTCCTACTGCGTCATGTACCTAAGAAGAAAAGTTTTATTTCGCATTCACTAGCAGATGTATCCTCATAATTTCAAGTCTTATGGCCCCCTCTTTGACTCAGGCCATTTGATTCAATACTTCAGCAACACAGTTGGTGGATCCATGATCTCCTTAACATGTGTGCTCCTTCCAAAAGGATAGATTGCAACAAATTCACATCTCATCTTCCCAAGAATCTCCCATAGGCTACCCACTCAATGTGCTCACAGATTGTTGATGTTGTTTGTCCTTTGTTCTTGAAGTTGACCAATGCTATCAGGAGGGTGATGTCTTGACTTGCAGGTGAATTGGATTTTAAGTGAGGAATGGCTGTGCAAAGTCATCAGCCTCACTCTCTCCTCCAAAGTCATCAGAGTCCAGTGGCAAGACATAGGTCAAGACAACTGGTGATGGTCACTCAATGTGCTAAAGGTCTTGCTGCAATATCTGGACGTTCTTTTGGAGGAATCTGGCATTTTCCTTTGTTTCCTAGGCATGTGCATTTATCAATCCTAAAGCTTCTCTGAAGTGTTATTGGTTTAGAAATGTTTTCTAAATTCTGAAATTCTACATGCTCTGTGAAGGCCAATTAATGTCACATTACTGCCTGAGTGTTCTTGGATTATACTCTCTCTTTATCTGGTTTAGTGGAAACATCCCTGGACATGAAGTCAGAAGAACTGGATTTAAGTTCTGGTCCTGCTATTTATTGACTAACTGTGTGACTAGGCAAGTCATTTGCCATCTCTGAGCCTGTTTCCTCCTCTGTAAAATAGTGTAATTCTTCACACCCTTCCTCTATCCCAGCACACGGCAGTTAAATCACATGCTTTGGGGTAGGGGAGCCTGAGCCTGGACCTTTGGCTACTGGTTACTACTTCTGCTTTGTGTTCTTCTCTTGAGCAAGGTTAACTAAGTAGTGATCCTGACGTGAACATTTCCAGCCTTGGAGGCTACGTTGTGAATTTAAAAGGAGGCCAGCAGATCATGGCTTCTTTAACGGCAGGAAGAGATTCTGCTTCAGAGATGCTGACCACCAACAGAAGGAGGAGTCCAACTCCTGGACAGCCTTGGCAGAAGAATTAATTGGACAATGTAGAACCAAGATGAAATATGAAGTGCCAATTTAGCAGTCCCTGCTTCATATCTTGATGTTTTAAGTATCAACCTCTTGGGGGAGTATAACAGCAGTTATAAGTTATGTATTTAAATGACGTGCATTTAAATATTTTGTCGATGTGTATTTGTGACTCTCTTGAGTTAAGCATTTTTTCTTTTCTTTTCTTTTTTTTTGCGTGTGAGACAATTGGGGTTAAGTGACTTGCCCAGAGTCACATAGCTAGTGAGTATCAAATGTCTGGTCTGAGACCAGATTTGAGCTCAGGTCTGCCTGACTCCAGGGCCAGTGCTCTACCCACTGTGCCACCTAGCTGTCCCAAGCATTTCTTTTGTATGGAGGAAGAAAATAGCTTCCCCATATCTGATTTACATTGTACTTTGAGTACCTTTCTAACCTCCTTCCTTTTTGGGAAGTATCTGGACATGAATAGTTTAAGCTATAAATACGTTTTCTTGGGGCTCCAGGCTAGAGACATAAAGAATCAGAGAGTTTGAGGAAAGAACCCTGCCAGGCTCTACCAGTTCAGAACCCAGTTTGCCCACTTTTGTCCAGAGGTGAGTAGTCATTGCTCAGTCATTTTCAGTCGTGTCTGACTCTTTGTGACTCCGTTTGGTTTTCCTTGGCAAAGATACTGGAGTTGTGTGCCATTTCCTTCTCCAACTCATTTTACACATGGAGAAACTGACTTTCTAAGTGACTTTTCCAAGGTCACATAGTAAGTGTCTGAGGCAGGATTTGAACTCATGAACATGAGTCTTCCTGACTCCAGGCCCTATCCACTGCACCACCTAGCTACCCTCAATGAAAGGGGGACCTTTTCTGGAATGAGAGAAGGTAAGTGCTTTGACCCATCCAGGCTCAGCAATGGATTGTTATTACATGTTCTATTTTGGTGAAGCAGGAAAATAAATAAAATTCAAATCTATGTATTTTTCCCCTTGTTAATAGACGGTTCTATTTGGGTTCTGAAAGGGGCTACACCTATTGGCTTGAATGTTTGGAGAGGATATCGTGTATAAAATGTGGTCCACGAAGTCAATTTAAATAGCTTCCATTGTTCTATGCTTGTTTTTAGAGGGGTGGTATCTCAGTTGGATTGATGAGAAATCCTTGATCTTCCACAAATTCAATTATTTTGCCACCCAATTGAAATTCCTGTTTGTGAGAAGGGCATGATGTTTTCACTTCATAATTAGATGTTAGGTCAAGATAACGAGCCGGGCTTAGTTTTCCTGATAACGTCCCACTGATAGGCACCCCGCAAAATGACCACCAGAACTGCTGCTGAGGAAAATCTATAGTGACCAAGAAGCTTTTGGCTTTCATTATTCACCCAAGACAATGTTAGAAAAAAGTGTGTTGGCAAAAAGTACCACACTATGATTCTATTCTGTCATTTGATATTCAGTTTTCCTTTTGGCCAAAAACAACTGTAAAAACAAAAGGCAACAAAGAAACCCTTCTCCCCAAACGCTCTAAGTATCCAGCTGGCTCAGTGGATAGAGTGCTGGGCCCAGAGTCCTCAGACATTATTTGCTATGTGGCCTTGGGCAAGTCACTTAATCTAGGTTTGCCTCAGTTTCATTAACTGTAAAATGGGAACAATAATAAATAGTACCTCATAAGGTTGTGGTGAGGATCAAATGAGATAATATTTATACAACACTTAGCACAGTGCCTGGTGCCTAGCAGGCACTATATAAGTGCTAGCTGTTATCATCCTCATCCTCATCCTTATCTTCATCCTCCTCATCATGAAACTCAACAGTAATTTCCTAATGTAGCATTACCAATGCCTGTAAATTTGGAGTTCTCTGAGTAGTATGGCTAAGGAGGAAGACAGGAAATAGGGGGGAAAGGCTGCATAATTATTGAACTACCATTCTATCAATCAATAAATGTTTATTAAGTGCCTTCTATGTGCAGGCACTGTACTAAGTGCCGGAGAGAGAAAAAGAGGCTAAAGATAGTCCTTGCCTTCCAGGAGCTTACACTCTAATGAGGGACTTAGAGTTTTGTGAAACTCTAGAAAACTTTTCAGTACTCACGTATATTTCGGGGTAGTTCCATCGAGCCACTTCCACTCATTCTCCTGTTCAGAGTCTGTAAGGCCAATCCAGAGGCTATCTCTGCCCACCATCTGCTTTTTTACCCATTGCTGCAAAACAAATGGGAGCACATTATGACTGTTCCTTAAGAGAGCTGACTTTTTTTTTAAACTATTTAGAAATCCAGCCCGTTTTTAAGAAGCATGTTTGTCAGAATACATCAAACTGCTTTCTCCCACCCTGTTTTCATTCTAATTATATTTTTAAAATTTATCTTGCTATTGGACCCTTCCATATCCTTTTTGGGGCTGTGATAGTTGCTTTTCTTTTATGATAAATTATTTCAGGATGACCTGCTAAAAACTCCTGGAACCCTTGACCCTCCTGCCATCTTCTCTTCTGTGTCACAAACCTGGTTAGCCATTGTAGGCTCCAGGAAACTATTGCAGGAGGGTCTTAGTAGAGACAAGCAGGTACATTCTAAGTGCCATATTCCATGCAGCCTACTATGTTCTTCCTGCCCTACCCTCTGTTACATGTACAACCTAAGTCAGCCAAACTGGACTATTTTATATCTATAGTACACATCTTGAGCAGTTATGTGGCACAGTGGATAGAGTGCCTGGCCTGAAGTCAGGAAGGCTCATCTTCCTGAGTTCAAATCCAGCTTCAGACATTTATTAGCTGTGTGACCCTGGGGATGTCGCTTAACCCTGTTTGCCTCAGTTTCCTCTTCTGTACAATGAGCTAGAGAAGGAAATGGCAAACCACTTCAGTATCTCTACCAAGAAAACCCCATTGAGATCACAAAGAGACACAACCAAAAAATAACTGAACACATGTACACATATTTTCCCACAATTATATTTATACTTATGCCCATTCCTATGTCTGGAATGTATACTTTTCCCCCTTTTTTTTGGCTAGGCAATGGGGTTAAGTGACTTGCCCAGGGTCACACAGCTAGTAAGTGTTATGTGTCTGAGGTTGTATTTGAAATCAGGTCCTCCTGAATCCAGGGCCGGTGCTCTATCCACTGTGCCACTTAGCTGCCCCTGTACACCTTTTTTTCTTATCTCTGCCTGATGAATTTCAACTCACTCTCTAGGACCCATCTCAAATGTTACTTTCTCCATGAAGTCTTTCTTCATTTCCATAGCTGTAAATGAGCCTTTATTTCTTTAGACCTTGAACAATACATTGTTTATATCTTTTCTATGAACTTCTCTTTTTGATTCTGTATTATGATTATTTGTATATATATTTTTTCCTCCCCACACCTAGCAAATTGTAAGCTCCATAAGGTCAGGGACTACATATTACTGATTTTTATATCTCCTTCCCAGTATGATGCTCCATACATATAGGCACTTAAATTCTTGTTGTATACATGAATAAATGCTTATTACTATATTCCCTCGACTGGCTCTCCCATTTTCCTCATAATACTTTTGCTTCTCCCCCTTTCCATTAATGAATTGGTGCCAAAGGAAAAACTCCCTAGTCTATCAGCATGGCCACTTTGGGGTCTAATAATTAGCTCTTGTTTCACAAAATTAAGTAGCATTTCCAAACTAGAGGGGATGAGAAAACCTTTCTATAACATCAATTCCTCTCTTTTATTTACTGGATAAATGCTGAGAGTTTGCCTTCTGGATATGTTTACTTGACTGTGAATGTTCAATATCTTTGTATTCTCTTCTCTTCTCTTCAATCATGTGATTTCCAGTCTCCAAATATCTGTAAATTGCCGTAGGCATACCTGTTCTTCTCTTGTGTTTATGAAGATGAGATGTGAAGACTTGTCTTCACAGAAGAGTTTTGCATCATGAAAAATTTCTTTTTCTGTTGAGAAATAGTAGCATTTGTCTGTGTAGTTCTTCCAGTGAGGGGGGCATCCTAGGAAAATGAACATTTAAACACTGGTTAAAACAGCATGGGTCCGATGTCCCCTTTCAGGAATATTCAAGAGACATACAGTTGGCCCCCGGTTGCTTCTATATTCAAGGGACAGCCAGGCATTTTGTTGTGCAGAACCCATGAAGACACACACATTGCAAAACTTTATGAATGTGCTTAATATGAAGTTTAACCTAGAAGTGAGTTGTAAGATTCCACACAGTAGTTGAGACCACACAATTTAGGAAACAGCTATTTGTGGGGCTGTTATTTCCCTGTCTTTACATTTGATCTGCATATGGGTTAGTCTGTTCAAGGACAGGAAAAACTGAAGAAGGCACAGATGTGCACCACAGTCTGGAATCCATATGGTGTCTATAAATAATTGGATGTGAGGACCCAGGACTAAGGACAAAGAAAATAAACCAAGGTAGCAATTAACGAAAACCTGAGTCTTCTCAATGAAGAGTACTTTGGTAGTCAGAATTAGGTATGGGTTGAAGAGCAAAGTTAAGGCTAAAATCTAACAATTTTTTTTTTGAGGAGGGGGAGACAGACCTGTGATTTCATTACCAGGAAATTCCCTCTATCAATGCAAACTGGCACCTGCCCTGTAATTTATTATTATTATTATTATTATTATTATTATTATTATTATTATTATTTTATTTTGGAGGCAGTGGGGGGTTAAGTGACTTGCCCTGGGTCACACAGCTAGCTAGGAAGTGAGGCTGGATTTGAACTCAGGTTCTCCTGACTTCAGGGTCAGTACTCTTTCTGCTGCACCACCTAGCTGACCCCCTGCCTTGCAATTTATAAACAGTTTTAGAGTGGCCTAGGACACTGGAAAGTTGTGACTTGCCCAGAGGTACAAAGCCAGTCATTGTTAGAGATGGGATTTAAAACCCAGTTCTTCCTGCACCCAAGGGCACTTCCAAACAGCCTGTCCTTGTATGCATGTATGCGCATGTATGTGTACATATGTGCATATAGGCACACACACATACAGTGACATATCTATATATAGATATATGTATGTATAAATGTATATACACATGTATATATATACCCGTGTGTGTATATATATGTATATATACACACACACACACATACACATATATGTGAACTATTAAAGCTGTAATGAACATATTAGTATAGGAACTACCACATATTTTAGAAAAACGAATTGCTGATAGATGGGGAACAGAGGGCTCAGTGTGAGTATTAATGGGGTGAATTGAAGAACACTTTCATCCCTAGGGTGAAGAGAATAAATGAAAAAAAGACTCATGTGGAGGCCAACCTCAGGTTTCAATGAAGACAATGTTTTCTGAAGGGCATGCTTTCTGAAGGTCCGACCCAGCTAAATAAACAAGGATAGAAAACCTGCTCACATTGAGAGAATGAAAGGTATGAGTTTGAGTGACACCACGTGGTGCTCAGGCCTGTTAAAGCAGCAGGATTCTCATGCTTGCCCTACATGATACTTTGACTGCTAAATAAGATGGGACAGCAGGACACAGCACGGTAAACATTCTATGAAGGAGAGTCAAAGCCACAAGGTCTATCCTGTAGATGCCCTCCCGGCTTTCCTCTGAGGCCACCCAGACTTACCATTAGGTTCTGGTGCGGGTGTTGGTTCATTCTGTAGAGCAAGTGGTGCCATTGCTCCTGAGGGGCCTGGAGGACCAGGTGGGCCCTTTGGACCTGGCATGCCTGGCACGCCAGGTAGTCCAGGAAGTCCTCGGGGACCAGGGACTCCAGGCTCTCCTACGGTGCCCTGCAATCCTTGGAAGCCAGGGGGACCCTGTGGGCCAGGAGCACCGTCCTTGCCAGCGGGGCCTGGAGGGCCTGGGTCTCCACTTGGCCCTGGAGGGCCAGTCTTCCCAGGGGATCCTCTTTGTCCTTTTGGTCCTTGGGATCCTTTGGAGCCTTTACTGCCTTTGTCCCCTGGAGGGCCAATTGGCCCAACGGGGCCTCTTTCACCTGTTGGGCCTGGTGGCCCTGGCTCCCCTTTTTCTCCTTTTTGTCCTTTGTTACCAGTAGGACCAAGAGGTCCTTGGGGTCCCCTGTCACCTTTAGGTCCTCGGGGACCAGGAGGGCCTGAAACAGAATAAAAAATATAACTGGCATAAATAATGGTTGATAAAAGGATAATATCTGTAGAATTTTTTATAGAAAATTTCCCAAGTACAAAAATCTAAACTTACAAAATAGTAAATATTATGGGTCAATTATTGACTTTACCAAAAGATTCCTTGTTGTGTTTTTTTTTTAAGGATTCATCAACAAAATCTTTTAAATAACTTTCCCTATTGCATTTCAAATATATGATTTATACATAACTTTTTTAGTAATGCAGCTTAGGTAAAGGTAAAGGTGTGTCTATAGCTATATAGGGTAGATAGAGGATGGAGCACTGGGCCTGGAGTCACGAAGCCCTGAGTTCCAATCCAACCTCAGACACTTGCTAGCTATGTGACCCTGGAGAAGTCACTTAACCTCTGTTTGCCTCAGTTTCCTCAACTATAAAATGGAGATAATAATAGCACCTACCTCCTAGAGTTGTTGTGAGAATCAAATGAGATATTTGTGAAGTGTTTAGCACAGTGCTTGGAATATAGTAATAATATTAATAAATAATATTAACAAGTCTGTCCTTCCTTCCTTCCTTCCTTCCTTCCTTCCTTCCTTCCTTCCTTCCTTCCTTCCTTCCTTCCTTCTTCCTTCCTTCCTTCCTTCCTTCCTTCCTTCCTCCTTTCCTTCCTTCCTTCTTCCTTCCTTCCCTCCCTTCCTCCTTCTCCTTCCTTCCTTCCTCTTCCTTCCTTCCTTCCTTCCTTCCTTCCTTCCTTCCTTCCTTCCTTCCTTCCTTCTTTCCTTCCTGTTGGAATGAGTGATCAGGTCACAGATTGTCTCAGGCTCTCCACCTCATGGCCTCCTATAGGGTTTTGTAGTCCTTTGAAAAGCAGCTGAGAGTGAGCTCAGGATTCTTTCCAGCTGAGTATTTAATGCTTCCTTTACTTAGACCTTTTATCCCTTCACTGTCACATGCACCTTGGCTCTCCCTCTTCTAGATGGCCCCTTGTCTCTTCTCAGCTGATTCTGTTTTGGGTCGAAGTCGCCCAGCTTAAGGCTGCTTGTCACCCTGTTGAATACTCATGTAAAGAGTGGAGGGATCTTGTTAAAATGCTTCATTTAGGCTACTGCTTGGGCCTAGAGTCCAGGCACAGTTTTCTCCCCTTCTGTCCCCTCCTCTTCCTTTCTCTGCCCTCGACTCTGCATACATTACTGCAAAATGAGCAGCAGTCCCTGGCTTTGCCTAACCAATAAGGAGGATGGGGGTGGAGCTAAAAATGGAGAATCTTTTGCCTGGGACCCATCCTTAGGTTAGGGACATCTACAAGACTCTAAACTTGAAATCACTTCCCTACTTCTGTATCTTTTCTGCTGTGTTGGATGTAATGACCACCCCAACTCTGTCCTGGATTCTCTACAAACTTTCTTTTGGTGATCTTGTCAACTCTATGGGTTCAATTGTCATCTGTACTCAGATGACTCCTGCTATGTAGGCGGACTATCTATTTTGTCTTTAGGGGGCTTTGTGTTTCTAGTCTCCTCAGGATCTGATTTTTTTTTTATTGATCTACTTGAGAAGGGGGCCTCAGTCGGTGGCTTTCTAGTGATTTCCCTCAGAGCTGGAAATGGTTCCTGATCTACTTGACTCACAATCTTAAGGGTAACATCAAAAGCAGATTCCCATAGTCAGCACCAAACTTGAGCAGGAAATACATTCTTGCATAATACTGATTTATAGAACTAGTAAAGGATGGGGAATTTGAGGAAAAACAAGGGGGAAAATTTGTTCTGGATAAATGTCTAAAATTATACCTGTGCAATGTTTTGGACTCATTAGGGAAAGATTAGGTTTCTGTACCTTGTCAGTTGGTCTGACCCTCAATTTGAGGTTCATTTCTACTTTAACCAAAGAGATTTGGTCAGGTGGGAGTTAAATACCCCAAGGGCATTTTATAAAGGCACAGAGGGGAATATTTACAACCATCTCTGTCTGTCTTAATAAAATGTACTCTAATATGTATGACTATATGTGAACTTTTGGCCAAGAATGTCTTTTTTGAGGTCTTTGTCCATAGTGTCAGGTTGCTGCCAGAATCTAAGTCACTGCTTTAGGAGTTGACCCTGAATGCCTTCAGACACTGTTTAAAGTATTGTTTCATGATATGCATACTGTAGGGCACATTGTGAACTCTTTTCATTGGGGCCTGACTGGGAATTTGCCTGTTTGCCACGGATTCGTTTGATCATTGAGAAAAACATCTAAAGCCATTTGGAAAGTTAGCATTGGCTCCTCATAAAAAGTAGCTGATTGATGCCAAGGGTCATAGTCTGTCCCTGTGGAATACTCAAGTTGGCATCACTCGTTAGCATCTGGAATGACATGAAGCATTGACTAATTATGTCTTCCTCAATTTCTTTTTTAGGCTGCTGTTAAGGCTAAAATAAAATCCATCTTCAAAAAAGAGGCTTTAGCCAAAACAATGGAAACTATATATGTATCTGAGCATATGCAAGTAACAGCTTTAACCCTTAGCTGAAAAATGTTAAAACTATGTATGTACAGGTAAATGTGATAGCTCAGGCAGTACTTCAGTTAATTTCTGGTTTTCTGTCAAACTGGCTGTTTGTTATTGCTTGTTATTAAATATCAAGGCCAAAGGGGTGGCCCCCTGGCTCAGGATTCTGAAAGGCTAGCATGCCCATTCCCCTGCTAAAGTCATCACAATCGCATCCAGAAAGGCATAAGCATGAACAATAACCGAACTCTAAGAAGCTTTGTATTTTTTCCCCTTTTCCCTAGATTCAAGAACTCCTGAAGTCTTGAAATTCCAAGACCTTAGAAATTGCTGTTCAGGGAGAAAAGGATACTCTTTTAAAGTTACTCTGCCAGCCGTGTATTGACATTCAAATGGCAAGAGTCAAGAAGCACAAGATTTCAAAAGCTGTGTTTGAACAGAGTCATGATTGGTTAATCTGAAATCTGAACTCCGCAGCACAGTGGGCTGGCAGAGTGCTGGAAGGGGAAATCTGAGCATCTAGGTTTGAATTTGGGCACTGTTGTTTATGGCTTAGGTGGCTTTGGGGAAATTGTTCATTTATTTATGAATTTATTCATTAATTGATCCATTTATTTGTGGGGAGAGAGAGAGGAAGGGAGGAATGGAGGAAGGGAGAGAGAAAGATAGGAAGGGAGAGAGAGAGGGAGAGGGAGAGAGACAGAGGGAGGGAGGGAGAGAGAGAGAAAGGGAGAGACAGGGGAGAAAGAGAGAGAAAGGTAAAGGGATGGAGAGGGATGAAGAGGGAGGGAGAGAGATGGCATGGAGTAGTACAGAGGTATTAAACTCATGGGCTGAAGGCTGCTTGCAACCCACAAACTCCCTAGTGCTGCTGACTAGATTAAAATATAATTGGGAAATGTTTGGCTAAATAAATAAAAATACAATGTAATATAAATAATATTCATTTGTGGTTTTCTAAGCCTGAAGGGATTTCTTTCTGTTTGAGTTTGATAACCTTAGTGTAGTGGCCAGAAAGCTGGCCTTGAAGCAAGGAGATCTGGGTTCAAGTCTCAATTCAGCCACATATTATCTGTGTGATTCTGAACAATTCACTCAACCTCTAGGTGCTTGGGCAACTCTCTCACACCGAAATAGCAGAGAAGGTGCCAACTTGCATGTAGAAGTTGCTGCATCCTGCCTGTAGAGGAGTTTTCTCAGCCCACCAATGAAATCCCAGGTCCAGTCACAATCCCTATTTTATTTTATTCTTTTGGAGACATTGGAAGAGCAGAAGCCACTAATGGGCCTGATCCTACTATTGATTGGCATGGGAGATTTGCGCTGCTCCCTTTCAGACCTGAGCTGGTTCATGCCCTCCTTGAGCAGTCTGATGGTCCGTCTACCTGGGGGCTCACCATATTGGTACCAGACTTAATGTGGACCCTTGATCGACGTTAGCCATAGAGTAGCTCAAAACTCTCTCTCAAGTTCAAGTGATCCACCAGCTTCAGCAGGGACTACAGGTACATGCCACCATGTCTGTCTCCCATTATATATTTTTTTAAGGGTAGTGGAAAGAGCACAGGAAATGAGGTTTCAAATCTTGTCTTTGATACTTACTGGGTAATTATGAGCAAAGTGCTTAATCTCTTTGAATGTTAGGTACCTAGGAAATAATACCACTTACGCAACCCATTTCACAGGGTTGTTGGAAGAAAAGAGCTTTAAAAAAAACTTGATGTGGTATAAAACTATGAACTATTTACATTTATGGTTTTTGAAAATATAAAAAAAAAGTGGTATAGTAGATAGAGTGCCAAGCCTGAAGTCAGGAAGACCTGAGTTCAAATGTGACCTCAGATACTTAGTAGCTGGGTAACCTGGGTTAAGTCACTTAACATCTGTTTGCCTCACTTTCCCATCTGTAAAATAAGCTAGAGAAGGAAATGGCAAACTACTCCAGTAGCTTTGCCAAGGAAATCCCAAATGGGGTCACAGAGACTCAGACATGACTAAAAAATGACTGAACAACAACAAAGTGTAGATGTAGGTTCTTCCCTCAGTGATCCTTGACTAGGGAAGCTTCCTTGCCTACTCCTTACCCCCACTGCTAATCTATACACAATGATTTGGAATGAACAAGAAGCCTTTTCTCAATTACCCAGACCCATAAGAGTTCTACAGGTGATTGCTTACTTAGAACAGACTCTTTCAGAGAAATACTGTGAAGTCTGGGGAGGGGGTGGCACTGAGATGGCTTTACCTGTATATTCTTGAACACAAAAAGGAAAAGTGGGTTCAATTGTTAGTGAATTCGCTATTTGAAAGCATGTGACACAAAGCCTGGAATGTCCTCTGTGTGGAGTTAATAGAAAAATCCTTAAATTACCTATAGTGAAAACAAAACATTTTTCTAGAAAGGTTCATTTGTTTATAAATGAACTTCTTGCTCGTATAAAGACTCCGCATAGTATTTAATTGCAATTTCAGATACAATTTAGCTTCAGCAAAGGCAGCTTCTTTTGGCTCATTTCTTGAGGAGGCCAAGAATTTTGCACGGTGTACTTGCGTCTAAGGTGAACTTTTAAGGGAACGAATGCAAAGTGCAAGGCAGGATTAGAGTGGACAAGGAGGCCTGCCGGGAAAGCATTAGTGTATTTTGAGCTTTGTGGAGGAAAGGTACTACATAAAGCCAACATAATCCACTAATGCCTGGTTCTTTATTATCCTCCACCACTTCATCACTGTCTTGGATGAGATTTCTATCTACGAAACAAAGAAATAAAATAGGAGAATAAGATATTTTGAAGAAAAAGATTTGTAGAAATAAATTTCTCTTGATTGGTTCATGCGGCCCATGTGTTACGTGGTCTCACTAACTAGAAGAATCAATTTCCATAAGCAAACATTTCCTTCAAAACATCTATATGTCCTACTGCATTTTTTTGTTTTGTAGATGGAACTCAGGATTACATCAAATAGTAATAACACAATATTTACTAGCAGGAGATCAATAAGGAAATATAACTAGCAGTAATAATAGTGACAGATTTAATATAATTGGAAATGGGGATTGTCTAGATGAGAAATGAGGTCCTCAATCAATGTTTGTTGATTAAGTAAATAGCCTAAACTTGGAAGCATTATGGAACGTATAGTAACTAATCTAATCTAATCTATTAGTACTATACTTAGCACATATCACCAGTCCACAAAATAGCAGCATCTCTGAGGTGATCTAGTTTAACCACATTTTCCAGAGTGGGAAACTGAGGACTGGAGAAACAAAGTTGACTTTCTCAAGGTCATGCAGGGAATAAGTCACAGAGCCAGGTCTTTGATTCTAAAGCCAGTGCTGTTTCCATTATTCCACGGTGCTTTCAGCTCCAAAGCGTGACAGAAAGCAAGCCTGGCATATTGATACACTGCCTTTTAAATGGGGCAAAGCACTTGGGGAAAAACTTTCCTGTTCCTTCAGCTACTCTGAAGTCAGGTACCATAGTTCTGGTAGCTGCTTAAAGCTCCAAATGTTAAAAGGAGGTAATGGCTAAACACATCCCCCCCCAAAAAAACCACACTGATGGAATGAGATGGTTGTAAATCAGTGTGCTGAGTATGGCTAATAAAGGAAACTAAAGGCCTTAACACAAGGAGGTAAAAACTTCTTAGTATCACTGAGACTTGGTGGGAAGGGACTTATGCTGGAATATTGTGTTCAGTCCTGGGTACCATATGCTTTGTTCTGGTCAGGCAGTGACTGGTATAGTGTGTCAGTTTTGGGCACCACGTTTTAGAAGAGGTGTTGATAAATTAAAGTAAATCCAGAGAAGGGTAAACCATTTCATAGGAGGATTGGTTTAGCCTGAAGAAGGGAAGGCTTCTGGTGGTGGTGGTGATGGGGTGGTGGAGAAGGATCTGATAACTGTCTTTAAAAATGAGATAATTATGTTAGCACGGTGCCTGGCACAGGGTACAAACTTAATACGTGTTTGCTCCTTCCCCTCCTTCATGTGGAAGAGGGATTCAACTTTTTCTATTTGACCTTACAGAAAGAACAAGAACAAATATATGATACTTACATGGAATTTTCTAACAAATAGGGCTGTTCCAAAATGGAATGGACTAACTCCGGAAACCGTGTGTTTCTCATTACTTGAAGTCTTTATGCAAAGCTTTGATGGTCACTTGCTAGGGGTGTTAGAGATAGGATATGTTTTGTGGGTGAGAGTTGGACTAGATTACCTCTTATGTCCTTCACAATCCTGCAATTCTATGATTCTGTGGTTAACACCTGGCCCTGTTATGCTTCTCACTAGGGGCCTAGAAGAAGAGGCATGGTTAATGGAAAGCTAGCATCTGAACCTACAACTACTAATTTCTTTTCTCTCTACTTAGCTGGCAACCCATGTTGTCTAAGAGCTTATGGGAAAATATATAGTATAACATGATGTGACTAATATAGTAGTAGTAGTCCATGACAAAATCAGAAAAATATTATCTTTTGATGCTATAGCATCAAATAAATTGTCAGTCTTCTTATCATTTGTTTCATTCCATGTTTAGGTTAAGAAGGGAAAGGAAAAGATAAACCATGCATTTAATAATTCACTGTAGAAAGCAGATAGATCCACGAAATCATGACAACTTTTTATATTTCAGGCATAGCCTTAATGTCATCTCATAGTCATTATAGGCATAAAATAGAACTTGTTACATGAAGCACCATTAATGCATAAATATTATGAATAAAAAGGTAATAACTGAGGATTTTTTTTGACCTAAATACTTCTAATATTTAGAGACTAGGAGGATAAAGATTACCCTAAATTCTTGAAGGCTAGGCATTGGAAAGTTTTTGAGAATACACCCAGTGTGATAGACTGAATGTCTTTAATTTTAAAATCAGCCTTGTTAAGTTTGATGAACCTCACCACCATATTGGATGCAGAATGTTGGACTTTTTGGCCATGGCAACTCTGAAGAATATTCAATTCAAATATAAAAATACTTATTAAGCTCCTGTGAAGTGCTAAGCACTGTGCTAGGTGCTGAGACTGCTCTATAACAACAACAAATCAGTCCCTGCCTTCAAGGACCTTACATTCTATTATCTACTATATCATAGAGAGGATGCAATCTGCATTGGTTGAGGAAATACAATGAAAAAATAATGTACCCTTGAAATATCTCAAAGTCAGATATGAATAACGTTGAATCCTCAGATTTTCATATATAGCTTCCATTGAGTTCTATGTATTTGAATATTCATTTTTTAATTGATGCCACATTACTCCATATTTTCTAATAGGAAATTATCTGATCCTATTCCTTGTAAATAAACTGCTTTTCAGAAAAAGTGAATTAGCTTTACCCCAGGGGATCCTCATAAAAATTAACTTTGTTAGAGTTATCCAGCACTGTTTCTCAAGCTGGGGGTACCCAGATCCACAGAGGAAGTACTAGATCCTGCAAAACTTTTTGTGACCCCCCCCCCCCATATTTAACCTCATCTTAAAATACTTATAAGAGTTTGAAGACAGAGTAGGATGAGGTTTTTCAGGCCACTAGGTTGCAAAGTTGAGTCTCGTTATATAATGCAATTTGCCCTCCTGTGGAATATGGTATAAATGGGTCAGTTTTGGATTCTGTCCCGGGGTTCTAATCACCAAAAGGACCTCATTATATTGCAGTTTCACTTACAATATGGTCCTGTAGCCTGGGGTTTGAGGACTGTACTTAATTTAATGAGGCAGGAACTGGATAAATGGTATCCTTGTGACTTGGAAGGATTAATGTAACCTATAAAGGGGTTTGACTTATAACTGGAAAATAGCTGAGGCACTGGGGAAATTGGGCTAATGTCTTTTAAACTTTAGTTCACAGTACCACTACAAACTGTGATGCCTTGCACCAAGAACAGAATTAAAAATATAAGCTAAAACTGAGGTTTCCATTTACCTTGTAGTATTGTGAAATTCTTGATGAGCTGACCATGCTTGGAGTCTACCAGCTTCATTTCTTCCATGATCACGGATAAGTTGGCTACTTCAACATCCAACCTCGATCTCATGACATCCTGCTGCATTCGGAGTTGTAGAATCCAAACGGATGTTGGCCAGTGTATTGTTCAAGGCGGTTAGATCGTCTGTATGTTTGGTTAAGGTGTCTGTACAAGTCGTCCTGACATCATTCAGGTTGCTGGTCAGCGTCCGCAAGTGGTGGGCCGTGTAGCTGATATTGCTAATAATATTAACTATGTCTGTTTCAAAGAGTTGAAATCGTTCCTCAAGCTGGTTAAACTTGGTGGTGGTTCTGTTCTCTGACTCTTTGTGGTAGTCTTGCAGGTCTTTCAGGTTCTGTTCATTGGCTTGTGAGATAGTAGTGATATTGTCCAGTTGACCATTGAAAGAGTTAAGTTGGCTATTCATATCCTCTAGAGTATCGTTGTTAGCTTTGGCTAAGGCGGAGTTGTTGGCAGCCAGCATTTGCAAATTCTGTACTTTCTCCTTAAGCCAATCGGTGTCCTTCCTTGCTTGAAGGAAAACCTGTTGCAGATTTTGGAAATCATTCTTAATTCGTTGGATAGCTTGGCTGGTGTCATCCACAGACCTTTGTAGACTGCTAATTAGGTTCCTTTGTTGCACTTGTGTTAAATTCAGGTTGTTTAGGTTCATGATGACCACATTGTGTGAATGCATTTGGCTCTGCAAGTTTCCCTGGAGAACGCTTGTGTCTTGCTGCAGATTGTTGACATAGCCATTGTAAGCCTGGAGGGTTTTGTTGACAGTGGTGATCAGGAAAGAGTTATTTTCCAATGTTTCTTTCATTTGGCTCTGCCTGTCATCCAGTATATTCCCGCTCTCCTGTAACTTCTCTAATGCATCCTTATTCTTGCTGGTTTTCTCTGTAATCTCACGAAGCTGTTGTCTAAGGTCCAGTATGTCTGACCTGAAGGAGGAAAGTTCTGTGTTGGTGCTCACAGCTTTCTGCCCAGTTTGGTCTCCTGGAATAGAAAATATTATTAATGAGACACAATGTCATTGAAGGGAGTTAAAGAGTCATGGCTGATTTTTGGGTCTGATTTTTAATTGACATGCACTGGTGTGTATGAACTTTGGGAGGTATGATCTGGGCATGCACAGATTTAGATCTACATGCATGAAAAACATGTGTTCTCAAACTGGGTAGCTTGAACTCTTAACAACCTGATTTATATGGATATATTTCAAGCATGCCCAGTACTGGGATTGCCAAACAACTTTGGTTGAATGACTCTGTGCCCTCAGAATTTTCCCTGCTCTAGGCCACAGGGAAGGATATCATGGGGGAAATAATTTATTACTCTTTAATCATCAAAAGTATTTTTTTCCTCTGGATAAAAAATGGAGGAATAGAATTTGCAGTCCCTCTTTTAGATAGGAAACGAATTTATGCAACTGTTATTTATAACTGGAAGCATATTAAAATAAACCTACAGAGTCTTTAATAAAGAACGTTTAACGAAGGGCATTTATAGCACTTTGAGATCAGGGCAGGTTTTAAGATTTTATTTGGCCTACTAAAGATTTTATTGGACCTATTCCCAAACCAATCCTTAGCCTTAAAATTTTTCTGAACTGCATCCAGTGGAAAGACTCTGCCGACAATGCAAAATCTAAACATTCTTCAGGCTGTCTGTAAGTGTACAAGAATTCTGCTAGAAAAAGCTTCACTGATTTATGCAAATTAGAATTAGAGAAAATAGTTCTGCTCCATTTATGGATTACCTAATTTCTTCAGACCACTTTCCACTTCTGTGAGTTTCTCGTTGTATCTTAAATGTGATGTCTCCATGCCACCTGTGACGTTGTCCATCTTCTCTACAACTGACATTTGAAAAATAATGCATTAGTAAGAAGCATCCTTATTCGTGCTTGCTTTTTTTAGTTGTAAGATGGGCTGCTGTTTCATTATAGCAACACATTAGAATATTTACAACCTAGTAAATAATAGGGTGATGGAAACAGACTGGAGCAAAAACTAAGGTAATCAGGGTCATATAAGGAAAAACAAATGATGAATCCTTAGCTTTGATTGTCTTAAAACCCCCAGTTAGATGAATAAGTGGATATTTGACATTTACATAACACTTTATGATTTCCAAATTTACCTTCACAGTGCTGTCTCATTTATTTTTTACAACAGTCCTATGAAGTAGCTGTGACAAATATTATTAGTCTCATCTTTCAAATGACAAAAATGTGGCTCTGAGACACTAAGTGATATGCCCAAAGTGGCACAACTAATGAATGGCAGATCTGGCACTCAAACCCAGGTCTTCTGATTCTCAGTATACTTTCCATTTTGCCACTTGAGAATATTATATTCTCTTCTGCTCTGGGATATTTTGCTATGTCTTGGATGTTTTGCATTTGGCTTGGACCTGACTTGATTTTAATATGCCTTCGGAATTCCCACCAAGTATCATATTCTATTTGGCATTTATAATTTATTTATTTCCCTAGCATCTGGGCACCAAACATATGGCTCATTTAGGAAACAATTTTCATCTATAATTCTATCTTATGATCCTTCCTAACATATCAGGCAGCTGGGACGTGCTTTTTGAATAGAACCTATCATTCAATGTCAGAAAAGTCAACCCACTCAAGGTCACACAAGACTGTTGCAACAGAAATGAAAAAGCAGAAGTATTTGACTCTCTGTCCCGTGTTTTCAGTCAGTCAGTCAGTCAACAAGCATTTATTAAATGCTTACTATGTACCAGATGCTGTGCGAATGATTTGTGATACAGACAAAAACATGGTCCTTGTCCTCAAGGAGATCAAATTCTAGGGATGGTAGGGAAAGACAACATACAAATAACTACACACAAGATTCAGGGACCCAGAGGAACAGAAAACGCTAGTTGGTCAAGTCACCCTCTGTCTAGTTTGCCCTTGACTGCACATCCTGTCCCTCTGCTGGTGACAAACAAGCCAGGACAAGCTGTTGAAATCTTGTGTAACTCAGTCAACAAACAGAGCTGGTGGTCAGAAAGAAAAGGCTGCCTTCTACAACAGGATTGTGAACAAAAAAGTGGTGGCATTTGGAGCCGGGGCCTATGTGTTTCTCCTCTCTTCAAGGCTGGGAATGGGTCTTCATTTGGGAACTAAGACTTACAGTTCCTTGCAGGAGGGGAAGTTGCCCTTTGCTCGCTCCTGGAGGGGAGAAAGCAACGAGGTTAGAGAACTGAACTCAAGTCTTCCCCCAGATTCCTGAGTTTGGAGTGTGTCTAAAGATGGGTTAAAAACTTCTAAGTCTGGAAGGAGATGTGGGTACATAGCCTGAATGGTAGTTGTTTCAATGTATTTGTAATTTTATTTCCTTTCCTGAATCTATAAATACATAATGGCGGGGGCTGTATTGAGGAGCTGATGCAATCCCCCATGTGGAAGAAGCTGGGGGATACTACTTCCAGAAAGGCATGATGACACATAAATGGAAGTCACCTGTTCCCCAATTTGGAACATTTATTCCTGTAGTTGCTTGGGACCTGCTAATTCTGTGTTGATTGGCTGCATAGCCAAAGTTGGGGTGCATTCAGAAGGACAGCTGGGTACAGTCAACCAGGGCCAATTTCTTGACTTTTAATTTTTTCTCACTGTTGTATTCAAGTAAAGAGACAAAAATTACTGAAAGTCCTTGTGGGAAGAGAGACCTTAGTCCTTTATCTTCCCCGTAGAGTTGCTTCGATGTGACCTTTGAGTGAGTGCATGGCAATGTGGTTGCTTTGTCCCTGTTGTCATCTATTTCTTGATTTTAGGTGAAAGAGATTGGTGACGGATGTGATTTGCTGTCTTTGAAAGATCAGGAGACAAGCCACCAGGGAATCCAGAAGCGGAGTCCATGAAAACTTTTGTGGTCAGTGAGGTCCTGAGGAAGGAGCTAGGTGACCCAGCCTAGTTTACTGGTGGGATTACGTCCACTAGTACCCAAGACTAAGACTTATCTAGGGGCTATGCTGAATTTGGAAGTATAGAAACTACGTTAAGCTTGAGCCCATTCTCCTCAGAGACTGAGATGTCATAGGGGAGAGTGTGCCTTTAGGTGCTGGAGAAATGTTTGGATTTCTGCTCTTGCTGTATCTTTTCAGTAATTATCCTTTTGGGAAAGCTAATTGATATTTATTGGTTAAGTGGAATTGGAGAGCTAATTACTGCTGTGTGACAGTGTGGGGGGGAAAACAATGGAATGGGAGGGGGGAGATTCTATCAGGTGGTATTAGAGGAAGAAACCCCAGCCTATCCAAAGGCACCCTGAGAATCCTGAAGGGAAATGTTGCCTTCTTCATTCTGGAAGATGGAGTCTAGAGGCATTGCTATAAATAGGTGAGTAAGAAATAGCATATACAGGGTTAAAAATGCTCACTTTTTTTTTTGGATTGTCTAGTCAATAAAATTATTTTGTAGTTGTATGAATAAAACTCAGGAAAATACAGCAAATGAAAGGAGAAGGTGGGGTTTTGTGGTGGGATTGGTGCTTTGAGCTATTCTGATTGGTTAAATCCTTTTACTAATAACATCCCTTAGCCTGCATGTGACTCATTCTCTAGTTTTTGGCCACTTTCACCACAGTCTCACTAACAGCATTATAGCTCTACCTAAGATCATGTCCTGGGAGTTTTAACTCTCATCTTTGGAATGTCTGCCCTACGCCATCTCGTTCTCCCAATTAGTGACCTCTCAGATCACTATTTCAGAAAAGTCCCAGCCACGTTTCACTTCACTCCCCAATCTGGCCATTTCCTCCATAGTCTTGTCAATAGCACCTTAAGACGACAAAGTGTTTAACACATTATCTTAGTCTTCCTTTTAGAATGAGCTTCTTGACAGCAGGGACTGTCTTGCTGTGTTTTTTTTATCCTTAACACTTTATTGTAAAGGCTTACTTAATAAATGCTTTTAAAAAAAACCATTAAAAACCAATCCATTCATTCGAACATAACAGCAGCCCTGTGAAATACATGTCATATGCACCTTTCTTCTTATTTTTCAAACGAAGAAACTGACATACCTGTAGTCACAGAACCAGAAAGTGTCTGATGTTGAATTTGATACTAGGTCTTTCTGACTCCAGGTCCAATGCTCTACCATTAGGAAAAAATTTTTCTGACGAATTTTGCATCAACATTTCATAGAGATCACCAGTATGCTTCCAGCTGAATACCAATGTTGCCTCTCTGTTGGTTGCAACAGAATTTTTTAAAAGAATTTTGTTCAGCATTAACTTTCTTTTAGGCAGCTAGGTGGAGCACTGGATAGAGTGTTGTACTTGGAGTGAGGAAGACCAGAGTTCAAATCCTTTCTCAGGCACTTACTAGCTGTGTGACCCTGGGCAAGTTACTTGATCTTTCTTATCCTCAGTTTTCTCATCTGTAAAATGGGGATTATAATAGCAATTAACTTACAAAATTGTTGTGAGGATCAAATGAGATAACATGTAAAATGCTTTGCAAACCTTAAACAGTTATATAAATGCTAGCAATTATTATTATTCATCTTATTTTAAGCAAGTGAATATTGTATAGGTCATTTTTATTTTTTCAAATGTTCTAATAATTAAAAGATGAAAGGGAGCCTAAATGAAAGATATGTCTGTGTAACCAACTTCCCTGCAATGTGCTTGGTTTCTGTCCCTGAATAGAGTCATTTTATTGCCCCACCCTTGAGAACATCCTCTGGTTTCTGTGTCTGGAAGGAGGAAGGTGTTGTGTGACTTGAAAGATCATGGTGTTAGAATTAACTCCTCAGGTGACAATGGTTAAAAATGCAGGTTGATCCTCAGATCACAGAGAGTCTCATAAGAACTGAAGCCTATTGATAAACTTTTGATAATACTGTATATTGATGGTTTAGTAATAATAGATCTAGCTATAATAATTTTCATCCTTAGCTTATTTGTTTTGTTCATATGCACATTTTTTAGTCCCTAGGAACAAAGTGTTACAACTGCCTCAGTAAGGCGAAGATAAAATTATTACACCGTGGGCAGCAACAGGGGAAAAAAAGTTAAATTGTTTACACGTTTAGATTCAGGCTTGATTCTCAAGTCAAAACATGTGCCTCAGCCTGTGCTAAAGCCACAAGAAGGACCTTAAGACTCGCCCTACTTTGCTGGCAGTAAGAGCCTCCTCTAAATATGCTGATGGTCACTCATTTTTCTCCCCCTTTATTTTTCTTCTATTTTGGTTTAAAGAGTCATAGAATTGTAAAAAAAGAAAGAAAGGGATGCCTCGAATTTACACAGTTCAAAAAAGAAAACAAATGGATGTTTTGATGAGAGTATTAATTTTTACTTGAGCTTAGCAAAGGAACTACCTATCTGCCCTGTATACAAGTGTTAATGAGCTGGCTCCATGCAGCCCTGTGTGTATCTGTGTATGTTTGTGTTTAAAAATAGAGCTTTAGTGTAGAGCTCCAAACTTCAGGCTTGAGAAGATGGCAGCTTGCCTACTGCATACAAATAGCAGACTGGTTGTGATCCAGAACTAACACTTGCTGTAATATCCCACAGCATTTTCCTTGGTCCTTATTATTAACTTTTTAACACAAAACATATGTTATCTTACTCTAGAGACCACAAGTCTATCAACCTACGGCCCTTGTTAGATAATTCTTGAAAAAGGAAAAGCATCATTGATAGAAAAATGATATCAGCAGCCTGTTTTGTAAGGGCTCATTTTTGTGGGGCCATTTGTTTCTTGACAGAGCATTTCTCTTCTGCATTTTTGGTGTTCTGATGAGTGTGCAAGAGTTGCAAGATATTTTCAATTTGACCCCTCCTCCAGCTACACGTCCTTCCCATGGCCTGGATCCAAATTTTA